TGGCCTAACATTGTTATTGAATATTGTGAATATCATTTTTCAAACATTTTTTTGGACTGAAGATTTCGAACCTTATTATTTTTTGGAAGAAAAAATAATGAAAAAATCATCAACTATCGATATCGATGTGGATATCGATTTATTTCAAAATGATTTAAAACATATTGAACAGGAGTTTATTGGAAATATTGTTTCAATATTTAAAATATCAACATTAAATAAAGATTTTGGTTTTCTATTTATAATCAATGATGATGATTCAATTTATGCTTATGGTTGTGAAATATGCAAATGGCTATCGTTACAACATGATCCCAAACAACCACAAAAGATTGAAATTTTGAATGATAAGAAAATTATTCAAATCGATTCAGGTGATAAATTTATTGTCGTTTTAACTGATGATGGACAAGTATATCTAGCCAGTAGTGATGATTCAGAATGGCAAACAAATAATACTTTTCGATTAATATCTACCGGTGATGATCATTTTGAAATGATAGCATGTGGACAGAATTATTTTTTATTGTTACGAAAAGATGGTACTGTTTTTGCTTTGGGAGATAATGAATATGGTCAATTGACCAACGATACAAATTCGTATGATAATCTCGTGGACACTGGTTTAAAAAATNACTTACAATTAATAAAAATGCTACGTTATTTTATTTAATTTAGTTAATTAACAATATTTAACAACAATCATTAATGAAAACATTTTGCAAAAAAATCAGGGTTCCTATTCTTCAATAGCTTAATTTTGGGGTTCCTATTCTTCAAAAGGCAACTTTGGGGTTCCTATTCTTCAAAAGATCCATTATTTTTTATTGTTACGAAAAGATGGTACTGTTTTTGCTTTGGGAGATAATGAATATGGTCAATTGACCAACGATACAAATTCGTATGATAATCTCGTGGACACTGGTTTAAAAAATGTCGAAATAATAGCTTGTGGTGGTGGCCATAGTCTAGCTCTCACTGATACGAATCAAATTTATTCATGGGGCTGTAATAAGTATGGACAATTAGGTCTAGGTGATGAAAATGATCGAAATATACCCACACTGGTTTCATTTCCCGATGGTTCGATTGATAGTCCAATCAAAAATATTGTGGCCGGTGCAGTACATTCGTTATTTGTATTCGATAATGGTCAAATGTTTGGATGTGGTCTTGGTCAACATCCTATGAATGATTCAAAGCAAGATGCATCTGTGCCGACAAAAATTCCAATCGAAAATGTACAAAGTGTTGCTTGTAAAAATTATCTTGATTTTTCATTGATTATGGATCAATCATTACAATATTATGTATGGGGTAAAGTAAAAAATGAAGAATCATTATTTTTATCACCACCAAAAAAATTATGTGGTCAACCAAAATCATTTGCTTCTGCATCGGCAATATCATGTAGATCACCAATCACTTATGGTTTAACATCAACAATTCATGCATTCGAATCGAATGATACAATATCATTTATGGGATTATTAGATAATCCGGATAATTATGATGTTGAATTTATTATTGGCGATAAACGTATATTGGCTTTAAAATTTTATCTACGAATGGTATCCAAATATTATAGTCGAATGTTTTCAGGTGAATGGAAAGACAATAACAAAATTATTATCAATTCATTTAGTTATGATGCCTATTATTCATATTTACGTAAGTTACATAATGGTCACATTCGAATCAATCTTTCCAATATTGTTGAACTTATTGATTTGGCAAATTGTTTTGAGGATGAACGATTAATGATGCATTGTCGTACATTTATACGAAATAATTTGAATAAGCGAACTTTATTCATTTATCTTCCATTGATTGATAAATATGAACTTGATGAAATGCATGCTAAACTTGTTGAATTAATTATCGATGATGTTTTACCAAAAATCAGTAAAAATTTTTTGGAAAACAAAAAAAATATTACAAAATTTTTATTATGGTTTTTTGAGCAATAATAATTTTTTCAGAAACCAAAAAAATTATAAATTTGAATTTGTTTTTGATTGTCATTTGATATTCGGTTCGTTATATATGAATTCATCTGCTTTCACTCAGCGTGTTAACACATCAGTTACTTTTTCGAATTCGAATGTTTTTTTTTTCATTTGTGTGTCATATTTTGAGCAATCTTTTGTTTTGTTTTTTTCAATAAAAGTGTTTATTTTTTTACCGAATTTTTTTT